TGAAGTCCACAACTCTTAAAGCTGTCAAGTTTGAACACCCCTGGGGTTTTTTTTCCCTAAAGGGTTAGGGGTGCAAGGGTCTTGAAACTTTACAGCTTTAAGACTTGTGTGCTTCAAATGCCAGAGTTTCTAAGCAAACATTTTGGTTGCTAAGCAAGAGCGTTGTTAAGTGAATTTCACCACATATTACAAGTTGGCCACTCCCACCCGGTCACATGGCTGGCAAGCCACTCCCACAAAGCAGGCCACACCTACAGAAGAGGTTCTAAAAAAAATTGAAACCCACCACTGTCTTACATGCTTCAAGGCGGGATAGTGGATAGTTAAAACCGTAGTGTAGGAGAAGGAGAAGCAAAGTCTAGAGTTCTTACCTTCCCATAAACAGTCTAAGTCCAACTCCTTGTGAAATTTGCTAACTCTTTTCTAGCACCAATTTAATGCTCGCCATTAGTTAGAGCCTTGTGTATAGATATGGACAATAAATCAGCTTGATTGGAACTTAACAGTTGGTCTTGTTTCTGCCTGCCTGACACCTGGTTGTCAAATTCTATGTTTTTTTTCCTCCTAGGACCGTGATGGTGAACTTAGGACATGTGTGTCCAAAGTGGCATACGGAGCCATGACGCTTCGCATGTGTGACATCACCCATTCCTCTTCTGGGTTTCTAGCATGCATGCGCATGTGTGTGTGGCAGTGCTGGAAACTGGAAGAGCTGGTCTTCCATTTTCCGGCATTAACATGTGCACCAGCCAGCTGATCATTGCATGCACATGCTCGCCAGTAACCAGAAGTCTAGCTGGCTAGCATGCATGCACCCACCAGAAACCAGAAGTGCATTTTACGGTGTACGCATGCCCCCTGGGCAGCCCCGCTTCTGGTTTGCGTTCCAGACGAGCGTGCATGTGCACTCCCTTTTCAGTGCCAAAAAGATTCACCATCACTGTCCTAGGATATCTTGCCTGTCCAATAATTCAGCAGGGGGATAGATATCTAAATACCTGAATTGATGAAGAAGTTGCACTAAACTATAATTTGTTGAATAGTTCAACCAATGCTTAACATATTTTATGGAGTCAGTCCTCAAAGATTCAGAAGCACATTTAGGTCCAACAAGCAGCTTCTCAAGTTCTTGTTGGAGCAGATGTTTTGAGAACACAAATTTTAATAGCTCCCCTATCTTATATGCCATTGTATGATTTTATCTTATTTTACAATTAATTAGGTCTGATTTCTCTCTCTCTCTCTTCCATGCTCCCATAGCTATGGAATAATTACTTCCATTTGGCAGTGGCCTTTCTTACTCATGAATCCCTTCAACTGGAGACTTTCTCTCAGGCTAAACGGAGCAAGATAATGAAGAAGTAAGTTTTCACCTGAGTTTTTAATTTTCACTTAAGTTCTCCCACTACACACAAGTAAGTATTTCAATTACTTCTGAACCATCACATTTTCCTATATGGATGATACTGAAAATCTGAAGGATGGGTATATATAAAACATGCATTAATGTTATTTCAGCCCATGAAGCTTGGTTGATTACACATTCTGATTTTGATGCCCATCCTGATTTCTCTCTGGGAATCAAAAGAAGTATAGATATTGCTCTTGGCCTCAATTTATCCTCCAATAATGAACTTGTGAAGGATGTTGGTTAGCAAGAGAGTAGCCACATGTTTCCTAGTTGATTTGGAACTAGGAGGTAGTTATGCAAAAACTGTACCAATCTTCTTCTTTCTATGATGTGGTCTTCTTATCATATCACAGGAAATTGCTAGAAAGATCAGAAAGTCTTCATCTTAATATACATCAAAATATATTGTCCCTATAGGTACGTTGGTTATTTTTATCCCATTCAGTTCAATAAATACCACTAAGGAGACCTATGCGACAATAGTCTGTAGCACAGAATCAGTATTGGTTTTAGGAAGTTACTAAAGAACATAACACCTAGAAATCTGATGCGCCTCCATAATTAAGCAGCTATTTAAACTTGAATATTTTCAGTCCTGCTTCAACATCCTTAACAGCTGCATCCCATAGACTTCCATACTTTTATACGCACAACTCCAGCTTCAACTTTCATCAGTTATTGATGTGTTACTGACTGCTGCTGTTGACATGTTTCTCGGTGAGTGGGATTATTATTCGTCCTTGGACACCAGAGGTAGCGATGGTGGTATGTGATGGTTTATCAGGTTTTTTTCATCTTGATAAGTTACCAGAATCACTTCTGTGATTAGTTAGCTATATAAATCCTTTAAATAAACAAGCAAATAAAGCATTGGTTACAATAATACGAATCAATAATATAAATGCTTGTTTGAAAGGAAGTTTCAGACTTCATTCCAAAGATGATACTTGGAACAATAATATATTTTGTACCCAGAGATTTAAGCAAAACCATTGAATGTTTTCTCTCTCTTTTCTCTCCCCCTCCCCTGTAGATATGGAGATATGAGGAAGGAAATTGGCTTCCAGATAAGGGACATGTGGTACAACCTTGGTAAGCAGTGAAGCAAATTGAAAGAACAAATTGACTTGCAAAGTTGGACTCTTGGATACCGAAAGAATGATTGGGAACATCAGCTCTTTTGTTTGTGTCAAAAGAAGGGAACACTAATCACTACCCACAAGGAGGGGTTTCTTTGACTAATAAAAGGACAAGAAAAAGGAGAAATGGAATGTATTAACTATTATGTGAAGGGGAAAATACACATATTTATCCAAAGATGTTTCTTCCAAAGGCAACAGGACTTCCTTTGTTTTTCCTTGAAGACATTTAGCTTCTCATCCAAGAAGCTTCTTCAGTTCAGAAATGGGGGGGGGGGGAACACACTAATTAGGTTTCTTAAAAATATATGCTTTGAATGCTGTATAAATGCATCTACTAGGAGATCAGTCCCTGAATGAAGTGAATAAGCCTCCTAGTAAAAAAAATTGAATAATCTGGAGCAGTTTTTCCCAATCTTTAGCCTTCACCTTCCTGTAATAAGCAAAATGACCATTGCTGTGATTTCTGGAGGCTGGAATGTATGCATTTGGAGGGTTCCCAAATTCAAGAAGGTTGCCTGTTCCAGATACTGTGTTTCCCTGAAAATACGACCTATCCTGAAATTAAGCCCCGGCNTGCATCCCGGAACAACTCACAGGTGTTTTCTGGATCACTCACTCTTGCCTCCTCCCCACTGATCTAAGTCTCAGGCGCCACCTGGTGGCCAACCAGTCTCTCCACGTCCTGCTCAGAGTCAGAACCCTGTCCAGGGTCCTCCACCTCCTCCAGGGCCGACTCATAACACCCCTCGCTGTCGGAGTCTGGCGGCAGCTCCAACAGCTCCTGCCGGGCCACAACAGTCATGAATCAAAGTCATGGATAGGCAGGCTCCATTCCAGTCATAACCTGAGGACTGTATGTGATCAAATCCCTTTTTGCATGTGGCATGTGCACAAGGCACATAAAAAAGATGAAGTTTCAATTCCATGGCAACATCTCAATAGTTTTCACCATCCTCCAGCTTGTAGACCCTTCTTAATTGCACTTCATAAAAAGGCATGATAAAGGACACCAACAAAGTAAAATAACTATTTTTTAAAAAAAACATAAATCCTTGCAGCAATGATCGAAAAATATTTAAGGGAGAAAACCTAGTATTGATTAGACTTTGGACTCTTAAGTCCTGATTGCGAGGATAAAAGTTCCAACTTCAAGTACTGCCAAGAGAGTGAGACCATTCTGCATTTCACAGCAAAACCTAAATCTGTCATTCTCTCTAGAAGCAGCTCTGTTTGAAAAATGCAAATAGCACATTTGAGAAAAAGATCTGTTTTTCACTGGAATTCTGGCAGGGCGGGGAAAGCTCTAAACAAACCCTTTCCTTAACAGCAAAAGGAAATGATCAGCAGCTTTTTTCAATAATTCTAGAGCTGCTGCACTAGGTATGAAAGCTAATTTGGTCCAGTGTTGAAGACATCAGGCCACAAACCAGGTGACAGTGAATTCCAGTCCTGCCTTAAGCATGAAGCCAGCCAGTGGGTGACCTTGGGCCAACCACTTCTTCTCAGCCCTGGGAAGGAGTCAATGGCAAACCACTCCTAAAAAACAGAATCACAGAATAATAAAGTTGGAAGGGACATTGGAAGTCTTCTAGTCCAAGGGTTGGGCTCCTCCAAGGTCCCTTCCAAATTTGTTACTTGGTTAGTCCAACTCCCTGTTTAAGCAGGAAACCCTATAGCATTTCAGAAAAATGGTTTTCAAATCTCTTCTTAAAAATCATGCTATGAAAACTGTGAATGTTTGTCCAGATAGTCACCAAGAATCAGACAGGGTTAAATGGAAGAAAAAAACAACAAATGCAAACAAGGAAGGTTGAAACAATAAATAGTAAAATAATATCTAGATATGCTGTGAGTGTCTACACATGAATTAAAATAGGTGGAAAAGAGAACATTCTTGACATGATGCAGAAGAGAAGGATATTGTTTGAGGGAGAGACTAAGACTATTGAGGACCAGCTTTGAGCTGATTTTCACTCAGGAAACCCAGAGTGACTTTAGGCCAGTCTCGGCTATACATGTATGTGCAGCAATAACACTTAGACTTATATACCACTTCACAGTGATTTACAGCCCTCTCTAAGCAGTTTACAGAGCCAGCATATTGCCCTCAACAATCCGGGTCCTCATTTTACCGACCTTGGAAAGATGGAAATTTGAGTCAACCTTGAGCTGGTCAGAATCGAACTGTCAACAGTCAGTAGAATTAGCCTGGAGTACTGCATTCTAACCCCTATGCCACTATGGCTCTACATGTACATAACTTCCATGGTTATGGTTTTTTGGTGGAGAGATTTTTTTATGGGACTGAGAACACTATTTTGGTATAAACTCTCTTGTTGTATTTAAAAGTAAGCATATCTTTGGGAGGAAACCTGGTTGTTAGGTAGTATTTCTTAGACTTTCTTAAATCTTCTTTTTCTTGAGCTGTATAGGATTGAGGTGTCAAATGGATTGGAATTGTAATATACTTTATTGACCAAGTGTGACTGGACATACAAGGAATTTGTCTGAAATGCATAAGCTGTCAGCATATACATACAAACAACAAAGTGATAAGTCATAGATTATAAATTTGTATAAGATACAAACCTAAATCATAAGATACCAATAGGAGAAGGTAATAAGAAAGATGAGAAGGATAATAGCAATACAGTCAATGTAATCTAAGATGAGATTCTCAATTGCCATTTAAGTAGTAAGACTTTGGATCTAACTCCAAAAAATAGGAAGGACCCAAACAAAGGTTTAGGTTTAATTGAGTGGTTGACATATGTATTTAAAGAGTTTCTATTTGTACCATTTTTAACAAAAAGTTTTTATTGGCAGTGTTAGCAGGTAGAGGGTGGGGAACACAGGAAGCCATGGAAGATTATAGCCTGGTGATCTCTGGAAGGATTGGGAAGACAGTTCCAAGAATTCCCAATTAGTATGGCCAATTCTGGGAAGTAGAGTTCAAGAACATCTGGAGAACATTATATTTGGAAGGCTGATCTATAAGCTAATATAAATCTGGTCCCTCTCCTTCATTCTGATTTGTAACCTTCTCTGTAGGATTTTCTGATGGAAACTTTCATCATGTTTAAAGATTTGATTTGGAAAAATGTCTATGCAAATGACTGGATGGTGATGAACATGATGCAGAACAGGTAAAAAGTCTCATTGTCTGTAGCCCAGAATATTTCCCCCTCCAATTCTTTGTGTCTTTTTTTTAGCACAGTGTATCAATCAATGGCCATTGTTTCATGATCCTTGAAGTCTGGTCTGGATTAAAAATAAATGTGATTGAGAGAATCCCTGCAGGATTGCTCAGCTATTCATAGTGGTTTAAATTCTCTGCCTTTAGTAGCGTGCTAACTTGTAAATTCTCTTGACTGTGGTTGCTTAGAACCTTCTAAATCAAACCTTTCAATTTGAGAAGGCAGACATTTATATGAAAATTGGCACCATTGCTTTAAGAGCAGTGAAAATACAAATGATGCCAAAGAAGTTGTGAACACACAGCAGGCACTTCCTGTGGTTTCAATGGGACAAGGAGGTGCTTTTAGCCTCTGCCTTTCTCCCAAGCTGTTTTATAAAATGGCTCTTCTCCCCCCCCCCCCGCACTTTTCCAGGATTTTCCTTCGAGCCATCAATCAGTATGCCTCTGTGCTCAATCGTTTCTTCTTGGATCAAGCAAGCTTTGAGCTTCAGGTAAGAGAGAACAGCCACTCCCTTTAGTCACAAGGGGCTGGTGGTTACCTGGAAGGTGAGTCTTTACCATTTACCAGATTTGTAAAACAAGATATCATGGTCAAAGAATGCACATTTCTTTAAAAAGACTTACCAAGTTTGAGAACTTGCTTGGAGAAGTCAAGAGATAGCCAAGGGATCTTCTTTAACATTTTTAAAGCATCAGAAAACATGGCAGATAGGGCCATATAATATGTCAAGTTTTCTTCTCCCTTAAATGCTGAAACACGTAAGTCATTCCTTTGTCTTTTAGCTATATTTTGAAATCTTATTCTCCGTATAGTCCCCGACTTACGATCATAATGGAGTTTCCCCATCATAGTGATAAGTCATGAAAGTCATAAATCAGATCGCTCCAATCCAATTTTATGATCTTTTTTGCAGCAGTTGTTAAGCATGAAATGAACCAATGGTTTGTTGTGGGCCGGTTTTGCCAAAATGCCTAATTTTTTTTCCCAAAACCACCATAAAATGTGCTGGGTATAGCAAACATCTGCAAATGCAAGCCAATTGCTGAGCATTCAGTATACAGACACATGACCCCATTGGGAGGGGTGATCACTTTGGAACCTCATTGTAAGTACCTCCAAGGGAGGTTTGCTGTAACTTCAAATAGTCGCTCAGGGACTGGTCATGATTTGAGGACTTACCTGTACAATATCTGGGTAGTTCTCACTTCATATTGACAATTGCATTATGGTGACAGTGATTGGAGAGGGGGGGGGTGGAACCTGTTTCAAGAGATTCCATAAAACACTTGGATTTCAGCTTGCTTATCTCTGACTGAGGCCAATGCAATCGTGTCAAGACCATTCTTACATCAGGGGTGGGTTCTGCCAGTTCTAACCTCTTCTATAGAAGAGGTTCCACAAATCTACAGTGCCATTTAGAACCGGTTCCAGATCCCTCCCCCCACCCGTCCTCACATCATCAAGATGAAGAGCGAGAGGAGGAATTCTGGGAGTTGAAGTCCACAACTCTTAAAGCTGTCAAGTTTGAACACCCCTGGGGTTTTTTTNAAGGTTTTCAGAAGTCTTCATTAAATGGGAGAGAACGAAAGACAACAGGCAAAGAAAAAGAGAAATAAGTTGAACTAAGGAAACATTCCTAATGTTTTATAACGACTCTCCCCTCATCTTATCTCCACTGATATATTGGTATGATGGTGAATTCCTACAGAGTTTCATAAGAAACTTAAGAGAAAGGAGGATGAGGTGACAGAAGGTCTCTGTTGGACTGTTTGCCTATGAAAGACTTTAAAAAATGAATTGAAAGGGATTTATGACTCAACAGCAGCAGCTGCGTTAGACAAAACAGCCCATCCGCTTGATCTTCACTCCTGTTTCCCCCTCCCCTTTTCTGTTTTCTCAGGACCTCATAAGATCAAGTTCATCCCTTCTATGGTGGGCCCCATCCTGGAAGTGACCTTGACGCCAGAGCCTGAGCTGCGGAAAGCAACCATCCCTATCTTTTTCGACATGATGCAATGCGAATTCAACTTCAGTGGGGGCAGAAATTTCCGTATGGTACAGAATTGGCTTACAAAACATGGGGGAAGTTTGAGAATTAGTTTCAAGGAATTATGAATAAACCGATGAGGCCTGCAAGGGAGAGACACCTGAAGGCAAAACCCTGGTTTGTTGTTTAGAACAAAGCATCATTCTTTGGTGTATATGAACAAACTTCAGAAGTTGGTTTGACTAAATCAATATCAAACCACGATTGCCTAAAATGAACTGTTATTTGGCTTCCAATAGGTCTGGCTTACCTAAAATGACAGAGAGAGATAAAAATAGGACTGATTGATCCATCTATCTTAGGGCTCCTCAAAATAATATCAAGGGTCAATGGGACTATCCAATGAGTCAATAAATTGGGCTTAAAAGGAATCAGTAAATGTCGGGGGGTTAATAGATGGCTGACAAAGGATGAAGGGTCAATTGGTATCAGTTGATCTTCTGGGAACATCTGTAGAACTTCATACCAATCTCTAGTCTGTATGGAAGGTAGCTAGCAGTGGGACAGTGTTACCAAGGATTGGATGGTCAGCACCAGCAATAAGCAGTCTTGAATTGTCTTATTATTATTAGTAGTAGTACTGTACTATTACTTAAAAGTCATGTTTATTAAATTATTTTCATATTAAATGG